GTGTTTGCTTGAAAAACCTAAATTAAAAAAAGTCAGATGAGCTTTCAATTGAATTCATCCCACTCTGGTGAACTTCCTAGAACAGCTAGGCCTAAGCGGACAATTTTTTGTACATTTACGTAAGTTCGGTACACTTCCAATTTTTGCCGCGATTCCTAGTACGATTTCCTTCTGTTGACGCATGTGAATGAGTGGATAAATTATGTGAATATTCGGATGAGGGTACACATATTAAGAACATTCGTAACTCATCTACTCGTTGACATGCATCAGACGAAAATCGTACAAGAAATCGCAGCAAAATATTCAAGTGTAAACGGGCCTTTAAAATAGTTTCTGAATCCGTGTTTTGTAAAATTTCACCATACAAGATTGATGCGCTGACTTACCTTTACATTCCCTGATTCTTCGTAAGGTGTCCATGAATTGTGTTCATTGCTGTAGGAAACTGAGTACGACTTTACCCATTCTTTGCTATCACATGAGCCCTGGGTTGCTATTCCTGTCACTGTGGTGACTTTTCCCAGATCAACCTGAAGCCACGAGCCGATTCTCCCTGCTGCAGGAGGTGCCCAAGAGCAGCTAGAACCTACCCTTGTCAGTCTTGCATAGCTAGGTTTGTAACCGCTGGAAATAGTAGACGACGCCGTTACTGCATCATCAGGTATTTTACCACTTCTCATTCCTAATGGTTTGGGATCTGTACATGAAACTTGAATAAAATAGATAATTTGCCATTAGACTGCAGAAAAATGGCTCTATTTTTGGTGTTAATTATTACATTTACAATGATTATGAAGATCAATTATGAATAAAGATCAGCGTTTTAGCTGTCAAATGACACCTTCATGGAATCATTGCGATAAAAATAACCAATTACGATCTAGCCCGCGTGCAGGCCCAAGGGAACTGAAGTTCCCTTCAGCCTGCTCCCTTGGGCCTGCACGCGGGCTAAATACGATCCGATTTAAAGTGGTCGGCTGAAATCACACTTTTCCACATTCAAGATTAAAATTCTTCCAATTTTCGAACAATGTCGAGATGCTTGTTGCCCATTTAGGAATCGTATGGCATTGGGAGTTCAGTTTGCAAACTTCCAGTTTTATTATTACTGATTATCATTATCACTGATTATTATAAATTTAGTATTTTGGAAATGTTTTAAATATTGTCAATGTTTTATTTTTAATTTATATACTCATCATCACTGCGGCAATTGAAGAATCGATAGATCAAACCTCCGGATTGAAAGCGAGTTAATAATTTAAACATGCTTGTTTCAACGGTTGGTAATATTTTCTGAACATATTAACACTGGGTGGGTGGGAGGGGGGGGGGGCGTGATCCTGATATTTAGAACAAGTTTTGGTGAACTTTTTGACCAACTTTTGAAAGGTCTCAAAGGACTGAGTCCAGTGGCGGCAGAACGGGTTTTATTTTGGGGGCTAATTTTCAGCTAAGTGCAAACCCGATACGCAAGACATGATCCAACTGTCACAGCAGTAGCTTAGTAAGATAGTAAGGTTAGGAGTGCTAACAAATCGAATTATTATAAGATTAGTGATAACATGCAATGCCAATATATGTTCAATACCGCGTATTAGTCGAGGACCTGTATATGAGTTTGTATGCATTTCATTTAGGACAGATAATCTCAACTGTTTTAGGGCAAGTTGACCATGACGGTCAACATGGTAACGCTGCCCGAATCCCAATCCGGGACGAAACGTCCGAAACTGACCACACCCAAAAACGACGCTTTCGCCATACTGCTATCTACCAAACCATAAAAGCTTTGGCTATTCTGAGGTGCTTATATGGTTCAGAGATGGTACTTTTTGGGGTGGTCATTGGTAAGTGTGAAATGCCTAGCACTAATATTTCACAAGAAAATGACCATACAATAATCATAGTTAAACGTCAATTTGTGGCTTGCAACTTCAGATAAACAGCAGTGGACTTACATTACCTTTTTCCCTAAATCTTTTTGATAGAAACATAATTGGTACTTATTTAAATATATTATCACTGATTTGGTGTAAAATAGTTGATATTTTCTGACCGAAATAATAATTTGAAATGTGCCTACCTCCTGCAAATGGACGTATTTGGCCAAGTTCTCCACTTTACTCCGCTGTTTATCGGCGATCTCGTCGACATCCTACAAAAAATGTAAATCATCTCAGACATAATGGTATCAAGAACATTTTAAACAAGTTTCAACTTGGTTTCAAGTAGATCATACCTGTTTAACCATCGACAAGGTAAATCCACAACTTTGTCCAAATGGGCCATTCCATTTATTAACCGCACCCCCCCTATTGAGGGTTTACAAAAAATACCCCCTGGATATTGCTTTAGTAATAGGGTATGTGGATTTCTCATTTTAACATTTCCCGTGGATTTTCTAAACCTTTGTTAACCTATTGAGGGTTAAACATAATTTCTCCCCCTGGATTTTTGGATTTTGTTAAATTTGTTCAATGGATATTTTGCATATGTTCTTTGAAATAGAATTAATACACAAATAAATTCACTGATAAATTTACTGCCATGAATAAATAAATTTACTACCATGGATTTATTTTGTTTAAATTTTTTCCATTTGGATTTTTATTTGGATTTTTTTATATTTACCCATGGATATATCTTGAAAAATTTCTTTCTCCTAATGGATTTTTGTTCTTTGGACCCCCTGGATATCCCAACCCTCAATAGGGGGGGTGCGCATATTAAATGGAATGGCCCAATTCGGCGCCATTTTGTCATCCCATGTCGGTTGTCAACAATTCGGCCTTGTTACTCTTCCATTCACGCCATATCCATTGCACCAATAACAAATTTAACCCTTTGTTAAGGGTATTAAAATAAAAATACAAATGAAATATGCGAAATGCAGCATTTTATCACACGGTAAAATGTTGCTTACGAGTCCTTCAAAACATTTCGTACAAATCTCGCGTGGTTTAGCAACAGGGACGTGACAGGGGGGGTAGAGACTTGAAAAATGAAAGCAAAGCCCCACACAGTATCGTAAAACCATTAAACGGTAACCAACAATCAGCATTTAATTTGTATGACTTGTTCATATTAATAAATAATAATATGTATATATTTGTCGCTACAAGAAATAAAACAAACATTTGTATGATTGTCTTTAGCTTTTAGTCTATTTCACGCAGCCTTCTTCTATCTTCGTGAAATAATTCACCCCCCCCTGTCACGTCCCTGTTACTTTGTCACGCGAGATTTGTACGGAATGTTTTGAAAGACTCGTGAGCAAGATCTTACAGGGTGATAAAATGCTGCATTTCGCATATTTCATTTGTATTTTTATTTTAATACCCTTAACAAAGGGTTAAATTTGTTATTTGTGCAATGGAAATGGCTTGGATGGAAGAGTAACAAGGCTGAATTGTTAACAAGTGACATGGGATAACAAAATGCGCCGAATTTGGACAAAGTTGTGGATTTCCCTTGTCGATGGTTAAACAGGTATGATCTACTTGAAACCAAGTTGAAACTTGTTTAAAATGTTCTTGATACCATTATGTCTGAGATGATTTACATTTTTTGTAGGATGTCGACGAGATTGCCGATAAACAGCGGAGTAAAGTGGAGAACTTGGCCAAATACGTCCATTTTCAGGAGGTAGGCACATTTCAAATTATTATTTCGGTCAGAAAATATTAACTATTTACACCAAACCAGTGATAATATATTTAAATAAGTACCAATTATGTTTCTATCAAAAAGATTTAGGGAAAAAGGTAATGTAAGTCCACTGTTGTTTATCTGAAGTTGCAAGCCACAAATTGACGTTTAACTATGATTATTGCATGGTCATTTTCTTGTGAAATATTAGTGCTAGGCATTCCACACTTACCAATGACCACCCCAAAAGTACCATCTCTGAACCATATAAGCACCTCAGAATAGCCAAAGCTTTTATGGTTTGGTAGATAGCAGTATGGCGAAAGCGTCGTTCTTGGGTGTGGTCAGTTTCGGACGTTTCGTCCCGGATTGGGGTTCGGGCAGCGTTACCATGTTGACCGTCATGGTCAACTTGCCCTAAAACAGTTGAGATTATCTGTCCTAAATGAAATGCATACAAACTCATATACAGGTCCTAGACTATATAAAGCGATCGACAAAGGTAACAAGCGTTTGCTATATATGGAGTGTAGTCAATTCGTCGTTTAATTACGTATTATTATATGAATAACCAATCAGAAATCAGATTCTCACGTTATTAATATTGACGTTCGTTACGTGCTTCGGTGCATGTTAACTGACTTATTTTTGCTCTTCTGTGTTACACTTAACAAATATAAAACATTTTCCGTGTTGATATACAGTTATATCAACACGAGTGGAAATTAGGAAAACGAGAAATTGTGTGGAAACACGACGCCCGAAGGGCGGAGTGTTTTCACACAATTTCGAGTTTTCCCAACTTCCACGAGTGTTGATATAACGATATATCAATACGGAAGAAATGTTTTATATTTGTTTTATAATATAGCAATGTCAAAAGCCCGAAGAATAAGAAAAAGTTCCGTGTTTACAAGCGGCGGAAAATTTCCCGTGTTGACATGGAGTTATATCAACACGGCTCTTAGCCAATCAGCGTTCAGAATTTACAAATACTATATTATAAATGCAAATAAAGACTTTACCAATACTTACTATTATTCAAACATAATGTTTCATATGCATCAACATATTGTTTAACCATATTTGCAATATCTCTGCAACACTGAGGAGAAAGTGTGCTTCCAACACCGCATAATGTTTTGTTCGCTTCAATCTTCTCCTCCACTAGTGACTTTATCGAATCACAACAGATCGCTTCACCAAGAGTGGCCATTGGAAGAAAACCAACGAAAATCAGAAAAATAATTTTTGCCATTTTCATTTCGTTGTCGTAACACGTTTGGAAGTTGGTACAACACTGCACAAAATTGACTTGCATTTTCGTTTTAAACATTAAGCCACTCATGTCACGTGGATAAGTTTTAACCAATTAAATTTCATCGTGATATAGGGCAAAAATCGTTGGCGTCACTTCAAATGCCAAGCGGAACATCAAGTCTAGTTATCCGAAGTACTAATTAGATGAGACACAAAGATGCGTAAATATTGACAGGGTGCATATATTAAATATTGACTTGTTAAGAAATTAAAATAACTTTGTAAAGCGCACGATTTTCTGCTTTTGGGAATTTAAAGCAGCAACAGGTCAATGCTATGCTGACATTTTTAATTGGGAATTGTTTAATTAAACTTCATGGTGTGATGCATGCCTTCCATTGTATGACATTCAGTGAACAGCGTTGAGTGCCATTTTCAGCATTTTGGGGCTAGTTTACAAGTGCGTTGATTGTGACAGTGCAGCATGACGTGCTATACTACAGTATTACTCAACTCACTATACACAGGGACGTCGCGAAGCCATCAACATTGGGGGGGGGGGGGTCATGTTTTG